ACAGTGTTGTTGTGAGAGTGGCTTGCAGCCCTTGAATCCCTTACAGACCTCAAGTTTTGAGATTTCCTTTGTTTTTGATGTTTTTCAGGTGATGTGGTGTTGGAAATAGATTAAACATGTGATGTATGAAAATGAATGAGATGTGTATAATAACATTTATCTTTTTACAGCTGACTCTTACAGTTGATGATCAATTCATTATTTCTTTTCTTTTTCTTATGCTTTTTCTTTATCTGCTAGTCACTACTCTTACGCGATCTCTATATAATACAGTGTTCAGTGACTAGGTTCAGTAGCTTTCATCTTTGTGATTCTGTCTCATGCATTATACTGTCTCTCTTCACCTGCTCAGATCACTACAGTGAACAGCTCATTGAAACTAACCTTGCCTGATCTCTGAGCATTCTCAGAGGTTGAGATGGCTTGGTTCCATGCATCTGCAGATGTTTCAGATAGTTTATCCTCTGTGGTCTCTGTGATTGAACTGATGTAAACAGTTGAATTCAACTCTGAATTCCTTTTTCTTCTGTGATCTGATTCACATGCAAGTCTGCTGCTTTGAGACTGCTCTTTGCTATGTTACACTCACTGTCTGCAGTGCATTATTGTATGACCAGCTACAGTCTCATCACTTATTGAAGTGTGACATTCACCTGATTTCTTCATTTCTTTCCATTCTTTTCTTATAATTGTGAAAAGATCAGAATAAGTGAGATCATCTGATTTATAAGCATCTATGATTTCTCTTACTTCGCAAGGCTTTTCAATTGTAAGTCTCTTCTTTTTCAATGCTGACAATAGTGCTGTGAATGATCATAATCTGCTCAGGTCTTGCATTCTTGCTTTCACAAGTCATGAATCATTGATTAAGTTGTATAAGACCCATCCCTCTGATTCTTCCAATGCATACATTCTCAGAGGATGTGATTTGAGTATTTTATATGGCTCAAACCATCTAGGTTGGAACTTCTCAGAACTCTCATTGCATATGAGAACTCACATTCTCATCTTGAGACTCAATTTCTTAATAAGTGAGTCTCATATTCTTTTCAATTGAATTGCTCAGTTCAGGAGTAACTTGTTAGCTTTTGCGCGTGTGTGGCTGATCTCTTTCAATCTTGGTTCTGTGTCTGCGACTGTTGTGTCCGCAACTGCTGTTCCCTCTCTCACCTTTTCTGAAGCATTCTCCAGAATGCGCGGATGCAATCCATACAACAGGTAGAATGGTGAACACTTGGAGACTGCATGCTGTTGAATCTGTGTGGTCAATAGCACCTGCTCAAGATATTCATCTCATAGTCTTGTAGGCTTACTCACTAGATATTTTGTCAGCATGTTGTTCAAGATTTCATTCAAGCATTCCATCTTCCTGTTCATCTGCAGATGATATGACATTGTTCTACAATGTCTTGTCTGTAACTGGCTCACAAAATGCCTCACTGCTCCTTCTACAAGGTTTGCACTGTTATCAGTTAGGATCTTGCGCGGCATTCCATAGTTGACATAGATCTCATCATGTAGGAACTTCGTCATCACCTTCTCTGTCACCTCTGGAACTGCTTTCACAACTGGCCAGTCAGTAGTGTAATCAATAGCAGTGATTATCCATCAATTTCCATTTGATGTTCACAGCAATATGCCTATGAGATCCATCCCTCATCATTTGAACAGTTGTATCATACACTTCATCTGATGTTGTGCTTCTTCACATTCTAACCCTTTCTTAGATTCTTTCATGACCTGGCAATTCAGGCACTCATGAGCATACACCTGGATGTCCTCGGCCATGCTTGGTCAGTATGCTCTTGGTTTGAGTACACCCATGAGTTCAGGGCTTTCTAAGTGGCTGAATTCCTTGTGCATATGAGCCATCAAGTTGCATCTAAATGGAGGTTCTAGATAGAGAGCTTCTGTATATTCTAGATCGCAGTAAAGCACAACATTGTTTTCATTTCCCAATTTCCCCAGCTTGAAGTTCAGAAGCATCTCTTCTACTACTCTTGCAAGACACTTGTCATCCGACACCTTGTCATTCTCTAAGTAAGAGATCATGACATCCACTCATTCTGATTCCTTGCATTCTCTCAGTGTGTTTAACGCGAACATTTCTTGTGCCTGGTTTGCAGAACCCTCACCCATGAAATTGAGTCTGCAACTGATTGCATTCAGCATCACTGTGTCTGATTCCTTTCAGTATTTGATATGAAGATCATACACTTGGAACTCCAAGATTCAACATGCTAAGTGTTTGAAAGATTTTGTTGTTAATTGTAGATAGACAAGGCTTTTGTGATTCATGATCACTGTTGTTGTATGCCTGTTGTTGATATATCTATCCCACAACATCAGTGTGTGCTTGATCACTAGCAATTCCTTTTCATGCACTGAGTAATTGAGCTCAGTGTCTGATAGTTTCCTACCATTGTACACCACTGAGTGCAGCTTGCTGTCCTTGCTCATCTGTAGAAGAGTGTCTTCAATAGCTCATTCAGATGCATCTATCTCAATGTAGAAAGGTTTATCACAATCTGATTGAATAAGCACTGAGAATGTTATTACATATTCCCTCAGTGTGAGAAAAGCCTCTTCACACATGGCATTTCAGATGATTGAACAAAACTTCTTCTTTCACAGATTTGCATCTGTTTCTCTTAAGAGATCTGAGAGTGATGCAGATATTCATGTGAAATCCTTGATGAATCTGCAGTAATATGAGGCCAACTCAAGAAACTGTTGTACATGATGTACATTCCTCAGCTGTGATCAATTCACTATGACATTCAATTTCTCTGGGATGAGGTGTATACAGTCATCACTCACTACATGTCTCATGAACTTCAACTCTTCTGTTTTAAACACACACTTGATTGATTTAATATAGAGCTTATGCTCTGTCAGAGTTATAAGCACTTCATTGAGATGCTTCAGATGTTCATTGTATGAGTTTGAAAAGACTAGAATGTTATTAAGATATACAAGGTATGAGGTTTCATTCTGTTTATGAAGAATTGTATTCATCATCATTTGAAAGATAACAGACACATTTATCAGACTGAATGATATTACTAGAAATTCGAACTTCTCTCATTGTGTATTAAACATGGTTTGTGGGACTGACAGTTTGTCTACACAGATCTGTCAGTATTCTGAGAGAAGATTGATCTTCAATAGATATTGAGTGTTTTCAACTGTATTCAACTGTTGTTGAATCCATGACAGTGAATATTCATTCTTGATCATTAGCTTGTTGAGTGCTCAATAATCAATACACATCTGTCACTCTTCACCTGCCTTTTTCATGAATAGGACTGGAAAGCCCCATGCACTTGATGAGAGTTGTATGAGACCATGTTCTAGAAGGTTGATGATCTGATGCTTCTGTTCTTCAAGATGTGTTTATGACAGGGAGTATGCATTCTGGTTGACTGGTTTTGCATCCCCTGTGTCAATCTCATGTACAAATCCTTGTTCCAGCAGCAATTCTGGTGGAAGGTCTGTTCAGAAGACCTTTTCATGCTTCTTCAGAAGCTTCTTCATACACTTGTTCTCCTGCATATTCTTTATCTTGGTTTTCTCCACTTCCAGGTCCTGTATGACATACAGGATGCTTTCAGATGAGGTCTTGCAAATTGTTCTCTTTGCTTATTGATGCATAAGCAGATTTAATCCTTCTATATCAGAGACATGGAATGTCCTTCTCATATCAGTTAATAGGATTGTATGAACCATTTTCTTCCTATCAATCAACTGTATATAGCATGTTCGCCATTGAATCTGCGGATTGAACCTTTGGAACCAATCAAGTCTGAGAATAAGGTCATATTCCACGTTCTGCAGCTCTCGCGCTCAAATATAGCAAGACCATTCTTCAAAGTGCAAGGGAACTCTTACTCTTGCAGGTGATATCAAATATCAGTTATCAGATAATCTTATGTGTCAGGGATCCTTCACTCAGCAGACCCCTTTCAATCTTTGAATCATATAATCATCAATATATTGTGTAGAAGCTCCTGTGTCTGCTAACACTTTTGCAGCCATCTCTTGATTCTTATTCAAGTGCCCCCTATACATTAACATTTCAGGCCTCAAGGCATTGAGATGGGTGTCCACTTCATCATCCTCGCCTGCACTTCATTTGGGAGCCTGCTTCTTCTTTGCATTTGCAGGATCCAGAGGGTCATCTAATGCGGGCATCTCTTTCACTTTGAAGGCTTTTCATAGGATATCAGTGAGTGTCTCTGAGCTCACTGATCCTGCTAGTTTTTTGACTGCATATGTTGAGTGCAATCTTTTGCATCATGATTTTGGTGTCTGCAGTTGAAACAAGCTCAATGCTCGTGACACCAAGGTTTTCACTCAGAGGATCTCTTTTTCAGGGGATTCGGCACTTTAGCAATGACATTCAGATCTAGATTCATTGTGTCCAGGTGTGTGACTTGTGTTGTAGAAGTCTGATTATCTGTTCTTCACTGAGATATACTTGATTGCAGTATTTTCTGTCACAATTGACTCACTTGTTCCCATATGATGAGAATATTGTATGCTTCCTTCACTGTGTCTGACTGTGAGGTTAAGCATTTCCATTCCACTCTCAACTCAGGTGTAAGACTATGAATGAAGATCTGTAAACAGAAAGATGTTGAAAGCTCTTCATTCAACATGAGATAGTGTAAACTGAAGTGTGTGAAGTACAATGTAAGATTGTTCACTTGTCTACACTCAGTGAAGTGTTTGTAACACTTGTCTCATGCATCTACTTTCTCAAAGTTGTGCAAGATTCATTTGAAAAACTCATTTCATGTTTGTGGAAATGAATATCACTTCAGGTCTGTGAGGTTCATCTTTTCATCAGTCATTCATAATGACTTCACTTTTCCGCGTAGGAATGTGACAGATCTTAAAACTTGTTGAAATTCCATTGACTGCCTGCCTGTGAGTTCATATTCAATCTGATAATATGATTGCATCTGACTTAGCCAGCTGATTGCAGCATCATTTTTTCAGTCATCATTGAAGCTTGATGACTTCAGCAGATCTTCTGGCTTGATGTATCTCATGCTCAGATTCTCATCCTGTGCAGCAGTCTCTGATGATGTGTACACTTCTGGAGAGATTGTGAATGATTGTGATGAGATCTCCAGGTTCAGCATAGTCACCTGTCTGTGTAAACATTTGATCTCCTGCTGCAGGCCTAAGATCTGGTTTTCTCTATCCTTATTGATGATGGTGATTGCGTCAGTGAAGCTCTTCATAGTGGATGCTTGGTCTGCAGCAAATGCCAATTGTTGTTTGACCTCTGCCTCAGCCTGCCACTGCATACACAAGGCCTTGATCTCATTTAGAATTCTCATATGTGTATGGAGCTTCAATTTTAGTTCAGCAGTCTCAGCTGCTTTTCTTACTGCTTCAAGTAAACCCTCTGAGAGGTTCTGCATACCTTCTGGTTCAGGTAGCAGAGAAGGGTGTTGTTTGTATCAGCTAGGAGAGATATTCATTTTAGTGGTTTCTCATTGATTGTATGATGTCTATTGTTATCACTGTATTGTTATATCACTATATCACTGTATCATTATATCACTATATCATTATATCACTATATCGCTCTGTTATCATTGTACAACTCTGGTGATGGCCACCCCCTCTTTTATCCTTCTTTTGAGTAGGGAGCAGACTTCTTTGAATCTGGTTCACTGCTCCCATTCCCTTTCTCACACCTCATCCATTCGCGTCTCATATGTGGCATTCGCCTGGACATGGAGTTTTCCCCCAATAAGTGAAGCAGCATCAATTGAATGCTCTTCCACTCACTGCCCTTCATATGCTATCTTTTGAGGTGTTCTAGGACCACACTGGCATGATAACTATGAATCACTTCATAGACAGAATTATCATGCCCTGGAGGAGCCTGCGCTCCTCACCGATTTTTAGACATGCTACCAGATGTGATTCAAAGGTTGCTTAAGCCAGTGTATGATTACAGACATACGCCGGCTTCTTATATTGTAATCTTGTATGCTAAATTAATTAGCGTACGCTATGGCCCCTTTACACTTGTACGCGTACGCTAGTAGTTCGGAAGCGGCCGCGGTATTATCCGACGGTCGTACGTTCTTCCGAACCACACTTTTATACATTAATGATATTCAATCTGAGTTAGTACTAAAATTATAACTAAGCTAAGAAACAAGATTATTTTCTCTTATATTAATTCTTCTTACACACATCAGTGATCAGTTATTGAAAATAAATTATCATCTTTCTTAAATTATTATCATATCTTCTGCATTCACTTCTTTCACTTCTTTTACTTCTATTGAAGATTTATAAACTCTTCAAGAAATCACTGTGAATCACAAAGTCTATATTATTTATAATTCAACACAGAATGCTCTCTTTCAATTATAATAAATAATCACTTCATTCTTCACATCTGATTCCAGGTTATGAAATTTATGAAAAACTCAACACAAATATTGAGATGAACTATGAAATAATTATTAATAGATTGTATTATAGATTACTGAAGAGTTATCTCTCTACTATAATTACTACAACTTCATTCAGAAACATTCATTATAAACTGATCATAGCTCTGAAAAAATTTCTCAACATCTGAAGTCATCAGAATGCAGATAATAAAAGAAAAATAATCAGAAAATTACTACTGAGCTGATAAGTTACTCTATCAGATAACAATTTTTAATAATGCTAACTTTCTAATTTGAAGAAAATTATATGAAAATGACTCTGTATCAGTACTATGATTTCATAACTTTTATCTGATAACTTCTGTGAATAATTACTTTACATGTGTATATCTCTGAATCTTTCTCTTTGATCAATTGAAAACCCTGAATTCTGAACACTTCTTTAAATGCTTAATTCAAATCTTCATATTTCACATCAATTCTGTCTTCAGTTCAATCTTGAGACACACTACAAAGTTAATATATAATATCTAGAATCAGAGTTGAAGAATCATTGAAGAGTGTCTCTCACAGTGAATGTATAAACTAGTACAAACAATCTTGCATTTATAGAAGTTATATGTTATTACATTGATAAGAACTGAACTTATTAAGAGACATTAATTGAATTTGAATCATTGATCAGTAGTCATACTGGAGATTATGTGACAGAGATATTAATGACTATGATTAAAAATGACTATTGAGATATTAGTCCCAGTCTTCTTACAATTACAACTGACAATACTGTGAATAACTACACTATGATGAAGAGCTTGAAGCAAAAATTGACTTTGTATTTCTGAAATAATACACAAGGTCATATTCTCTGCATTGCTCATGTGATTCAACTTGTGATGCAAACACTGATAAAGAATCTTAATATCAAGATAAAGAATAATGAGATGACTGATTCTTGAGATGAGAATGAGATAAAAGTGATTACTCAAGTAACTTTTACATTTACTTTACAAAAGATAATGTTTTTTGACAACACTTTTTAATATTGCTTTTTGATAATGCTTTTTGATAATACTACTGTTAATTTTGAATAGATTGACTAATAATTTAAATATCATAGATTTGAAACATTGTTAATGTGATTTGTATCTCTTCTAAACAATAATAATGATTTCATGATATTCAATAAATAAACAAATCAGTCACATCACTGAATATGATACAGAATATTAGAACACAGTAAAGTTCAATATATAAGATAACTGTTTAAGCTCTTCAATTGTGTCAGGTGATTCATCATTGAATGCAATACTCTGATCAGAAAAAGATTCAGATATTGAAACTTTCTGATATGAAGTGAACTCAGTTGAAATATGTGATTGATTTACTGTTTCAGTTTTATAAGATAATAAAGACAGTCTTAATCACTCATACATCAATACTGCAGTCAGTCTGATAAGTGTATAACAGTTTATTTACTTATCTTGAGAAGCAGTTGAATCACTCAAAAAGAAATTCAGTCTGAGATGATGCTATAGCACAGGCTATTATTACTGTAAGGAATAAACTGGTATATTACTACAGCAAAACAGAACAATCTTTTACAGAGTACTATACTATAGCAGCTCTACTAGATCTCTTCTATCAAGTTAATATCTACACTTCTCAAGATTGAATAGAGAAGGAATGAGACTTATATGTCAAATTAGTCTGAGACTACTACAATATCAACTATCAGAGATTTGAATGAGCAGATGTTCAAGATATGAAGACAGTGAAATACAATTCTCTAGTAAGTAATGATCTTTGATAACACTTCATATTACATAGAACTATAATACTAACTTTGAAACAGAACTTGTATATATTGATTATAACTGAAAATCAGGCAAAACTACATGCTTGTAAAACTGAATTTGACTGCTATCTTCAAGATGATCTGACAAATTTACAAATCAAATCAATTCTAGAGTTATGAAAAATTGTTGAGAGTATATATTCAACTATTGCACTGATAATGCATGATATTCTGATAATTTCATTGACAGAGGTGAGAATGAAGTGAAAGTTCAACTCAAGTCAAGATATTTATCACTATTATCAGAGACAATTATAAGAAGAAACAATCAAGAAACTCATGATTGTAAAACATAGAATTATCAGATAGTTTAATACCTCTGATCACAGTATATCAGAGAAGTGTAGTTTTTATGAGAAAGTGAAGAATAAACTTGTACAAGAATGTATTTAGTTGTTTTATAAGTATTATCAATAATCATTACCAAATTCTGATTATATAAGCAATCACTGAATGAACTGAATGAGACTGATTTTAATCTTCAGTCTCAGTCTTATTCTGATTTTAAAAGAATGATTATCTTTCACAGTTTATTCTGGAAAATTACTCTCATTTCACTGTTCTTGAATTAAATCTGGTCATTTTTCACATCATTTCTCTCAGAAATGGTCCATTTTCAGATTTTTTTAAGGCTTGATTCTGGTGGGACTCATGCCAAGAAATGTATGAGATCAGACCAAATGAGACCAAATGTGAAATTCATAGTCCCGGCGGCCAGTCTAATAAGAACACTTATAAGAAGCTCAGCAGTGATCAGACATTGTTTACAAGATATTAATTAAAATTGAAAAAATTTTTTATTCTTGAGAAGTTCTTGAATTAATATATGAATATTATCAGAAACACTCTTTCTCTATCATCTAAGTGAAAACACTTCACAGATAAATGAGAATACTCACAGTTTATAGAGATAAAAGCTGTTATAGAAAAAGAGAAAAGAAGATAAGATTTCACAGACAGATCTGAAGTATTTATACTACTTTAGAGAGATTTACTTATACTGTGAGTGATTCTGTGAAACAGTCAGATCACTCTAGTAAACAAAGTGTGATTATAAATTGTAGATCTGAATCTTTCTATATAACTATAAAGAGTGATTACAGACTATGAATATCTTGATTCTACAATTCTACAGAGTTGATAAAAGAATGGAAAATTCCTCACAATTCTACAGTGTCAAAGAACAATGATTTATAAGAATGAGTGAAAGATCAACTTATGAATACTTCTCTTTAATAGAGATAATCTCATAGAGAGTGATTTATCTGTGAGATGAATCTGTATAATGATTACATAAGAATCTTATGAAAATGATTGAGAGTCAGCTGAAATTCTTCTGTATAAAAGATGTAAAATGAATCTATATAATAGTCAGAGAAGAATCTGTAGATTATAAAGAATCTCATGAAATAAGAAACTGAGTAACAGACTCTTTTCTCTTTATAATAATAAGGGATTTTTCCTCACTGAGGTTTTTTATAGATGTGAAGAATTTTTAGTGAGTATTACTACAGTGCTGAGCTGATTCTATGAAGTCACTCAGTAAAAGGCTTCATAGATGAAGTCTTAGAGAGAAGAGAGTATATAAGAAATCTCACTTCTCATAGATTCTTTATCTCTATTTCTATCTCTCATATAATCAATAGAGTTAGCAGCTCTTGACTATACATAACTATATAGACTGAAGTTCATGAACACTATTTATAACTTAGCTTGAATACTATTATATATTTAATCTCTACATTTTATCTTTCTACTGCAAATACTTCTAGCAGTTAATAGTACATATCACGCCAAGCTGCAAACACCCGAATAATCGCCTGCGAGTACTTATTCTTACAGTAAGTCACTTATTAACTACATTTTTCACATTTTAAATTAATATATTAGAAACTCACTTATCACATGATTAATTTGAATAGAGATGAGAAAAGAAGATCTATATAGTCAGCAGAAAAACTCATCTATTTCTTTATATTATATACAGTATATATGCTGTTAATCAGTTGATAACTATTACTATATAATAAAGATAACTTCTAATTCAGTAATCTTAAGAATATCAGAACTATGCTCTTAAAGAGAAGAATATTGTCACACTTCTAATTATATTAAGACTCTGTTATGATTTCACATGACTCATTACTTT